ACACACACACAGGACTATTATTCAATAATTATAAAAAATGAAAATTTGCCATTTGTGACAACATAGGTGAATCTTAATGGCATTATGCTAAGTGAGATAAGTCACACAGGGGCAGACAAATACTATGTGATCTCTTTTATATGTGGAATCTAACAAAAGCAAACTCATAGAAACAGAGAGCAGGTTGGTGGTTTCTGGAGGTGGAGGTCATGAAGTGGTGAAAATGGGTAAAGCTATTCAAAAGTCACAAACTTCCCATTAGAAGATAAGTTCTGGTGATGTGATGTACAGCATGGTGACTATAGTTAAAAATACCATACTGTATATTTGAAAATTATTAAGAGGATAGATCTTAAAAGTTCTTTTTTTCTTAAAAATTATATTATTTTAATTATAGAATTGCCATAGGGAAGAAACCATTCTATTCTGATAAGTATATGCCATTAAAAAAATCTAGTATGTACTTTCATTTCTCTTTTTTAATCATAGTTAAAAAAATTTTATTGTTGCTTAATTACAGTATCTCATATTTATTTATTTTTTGTTTTGTTTTTTATTTTTTTAAATTTATTTTTTATTGATTATGCCATTACAGTTGTATTCCCCCTTCATTCCCCTCCACCTTATCTCCCCATCCCCATTACCCCCCTTTAGTTTATGACCATGTGTCTCAAGTTTTTTAGATTCTATATTTCCCATACTATTCTTGCCCCCCATCTATTTTCTATCTACTGTCTATGCTACTTATTTTCTGTATCTTCTCCCCCCTTCTCCTCCTCCCACTCCCCTGTTGCTAACCCTCCTTGAGATCTTCATTTCTATGTTTCCACTCCTGATCTAGCTGTCCTTTTAGTTTGCTTTTGTTTTAGGTGTGGTTGTTAGTAACTGTGAGTTTGCTGTCCTTTCACTGTTCATGTTTTTTTAACTTCTTTTTCTTAGATAAGTCCCTTTAACATTTCATATAATAAGGGCTTGGTGATGATGAACTCCTTGAATTTGATCTTATCTGAGAAGCACTTTATCTGTCCTTCCATTCTAAATGAAAGTTTTGCTGGATAGAGCAATCTTGGTTTGTAGGTCTTTGGATTTCATGACTTGGAATACCTCTTTCCAGCCCCTTCTTGTCTGTAAGGTCTCTTTTGAGAAATCCGCTGACAGTCTGATGGGAACTCCTTTGTAGGTGACTGTCCCCTTAGCTCTTGCTGCTTCTAGAATTCTCTCCTTCATTTTAATCTTGGCTAATGTAATTATGATGTGCCTTGGTGTGTTTCTTCTTGGGTCCAACTTCTTTGGGACTCTCTTGAGCTTCCTGGATTTCCTGGAAGTCTATTTCCTTTGCCAGATTGGGGAAATTCTCCTTTATTATTTGTTCAAATAAGTTTTCCACTGGTGGCTGTTCCTTTCCCCCTTCTGGTACCCCTATAATTCGGATGTTGGAGCATTTAAAGATGTCCTGGAGGTTCCTAAGCCTCTCCTCATTTCTTTGAATTCTTGCTTCTTCACTCTTTTCTGTTTGGCCATTATTTGCTTTCTTCTGGCCCACTCCATTGATTTGAGTCCCAGTTTCCTTTTCATCGCTATTGGTTTCCTGTGCAATTCCATTCATTTCAATTAGTTTTGCCTTCATATATTTGTCTAATTTGTGGCTATAATCAACCAGTTCTGTGAGGATCCTGATCACCAGTGTTTTAAACTGTGTGTCTGAGAGTTTTGCTATTTCTTCATCACTTAGATTTATAGGCTCTGGGGTTTTGAGATCTTCTTGAGCCATTTTTGGTCTGTTTGTGCCCTTTAAGTGTGAGGAGTGAGGAGCAGAGCCTTGGACCCAGGTCGCTGGGTTGTGATGCTGTATGTGGGGGCGTGGTCAGAGCGGGGAAATGGCGGCACCCTCTACTGTTTCGTGGTGAGGAGCAGAGCCTTAGGTGGTTCACCAGGGCCGGACCACTCAGAGTCGCTGGGTTATGACTCTGCATGTGGAGGTGGGGTCAGAGCAGGGAAATGGTGGCGCCCTCCCTGCCGTCTGCCATAGGGACCCACTGGTTACCAGTCCAATGGCCCACTCCCTGGCTTATCTATTGGCGCACAAATGCGCGACCACAGTCAACCCGTAGCCCTGCTCCTTCGCTGTTTCCCCGCGGTTGCTCGCTTGGTCACTCACTAGGTCCAGCTCTGCGCTTGGATTCTGCGTGCCTGAGTCCGTCTGACCAAGTTTTTCTGTGCAACCCTGCTCCACCAGCTGCTGGTTTCGCCCCTTACCAGTCAGGCTGAAGAATTTGTCGTTAACAGACTTCCGAAAAGTTCAATTTTCTGTGATCTGGCTATGTTTTCTGTTGCTAATATTTAGTTGTCTCTAAACTTGGTTGTGTGAGAAGGCACGGCATATCCACCTATGCCTCCATCTTGGCGGAAGTCTTAAAAGTTCTTATTATAAGAAAAAAGATGTACCTATGTAGGTGATGGTAGTTAACTAAACTTATCATGATAATCATTTTACAATATATACATTTATCAAAATTTTATGTTGTATACCTTAAACTAATACAATATTATATGTCAATTATATCTCAGTAAAATGGAGATAATGGAAATAAAAGTCACTTACCACTATTAAAATGTTCATCTTATCCATAAGTACCCGAACAGAAAGACTCAGAATGTTTGACCATGTATCTGGCACGTGAAATTAGTCATCATAGTATCCAATAGAATATCATGGAAATAACATACTGTACCTTCTAAGGGTAGATTATAAAAAATATTGTGGCTTCTGCCATACTCTCTTGTTATGGGAGTAGAACAAGAATGAGCCACCATGTCACAAGGATACTCAAGTACAGGGTTCAGCACAAATAATGCCCCCCCTTTTTATTACAAATCCTTTTATTAAAAAATTATGAACATGTAATTCTGTAACATAATATCACTTTCAAGCACACCATATGACATTTTAGGTGAAATGTTCAAATTAAAATGATAAATTATTATATCCATATTATTACCCTAGCCACCACACTCTAGCAAGCCTTACTTCTGCCAGATCCTATAGTACAATACTAGGAGGAGGACCACATGGTGAGGATATGAGGCCTCCAGCCAAAAGCCATGTGAGTGAGCCATCTCACATGAGGATCTTTCAGTCCCAGTCAAGTCTTCCAATGACTGCCTTTCTGGCTGATGTCTTGATTGCAACCTCATGAGAAATTCCAAGGCAGAACCACCTTCCTAAGCTGCTCTCGAACTCCTGACACACAGAAACTGTTCGAGATAATAAATAATAATTATTTTTTTAAATCTCATTTGAAGATATGTTTCTTGATTTTAGAGAGAGAGAAAGGAAGAGAGGGAAACATCAGTCAGTTGCCTCCCATAATATGCACCCCAACTAAGGATCAGCCTGCAACCTAGGTATATGCCCTGATCAGGAGTTGAACTCACATTCTGGTGCATGGGACCACACTTCAACCAACTGAGCCACCAGGCCATGGCAATAAATATTTATTCTTGATTTAAGTCCTAAGTTTATGTTATTTTGATACTATGCAATAGATAACCAATCTTAAAGTCATTCTACCAATAATAATTGATGTGTATTCTTCAGAAATGTCAAAGTCATGATAAGCAAAAAAAAAAAAAAACAAACAAACCCAAAAACTGAAGACTTTGTTCAGACTAAATGAAAAAAAACACATAACATTCTAATGCAATGTATGACCTTAGAATGATCCTAGACTAGAAAAAAAGTGTTTTTGTGTGTTTGCTTATAATAACCATCACCGAAATGATTAGAGAAATTTGTGTATAGTCTGTTACTTAGATAATAGTATTGTGTCAATATTAATTTTCTGGTTTTACTCATTGCATTATAGTTGTGCAAGACAATGTTCATGCTTTTAGAAAACACACACTGAAATATGGATGAAGGAGGGGCGAAGGAGGGATGTCATGCCTGTAAGTGATCAGAAACAGTTCCAAAGTCACAAATACATAATTATATGTGCATGCATCTCTATATATTATATTCATATGTATGAAACTATATCTATCTATATTTATTCTATCTAACTATCATCGACTACCCTTCCATTCAAAGTGAAAGAGAGACAGAAAATGGTAAAGAAAAAGTGAAATGTTAACATTTGGAGACTCTCTCTCTCTCTCTCTCTATATATATATATATATCCATCGATGCACATATATTCAATTCTTTGTACTACTCTTGCCACTTTTCTGTAGAAATTATTTCAAAGTAAAAACAAATACCATATGATCTCACCTATAAGAGGAATCTAATGAACAAAATAAACTAATGAACAAATTAGAACCACAGACAGGGAAACATGGAACAGACTGAAAGTGACCAGAGGGGAGTGGGGAGGGGGGTTGATAGTGGAAAGAAGGGGAAGGGACTAGACAAAGAACATGTATGAATGACCCTCGGACGTAGACAACAGTGTGGGAATTGGCTGTGGGAGGGGTGGGATGGGCAGAGGAGGACGATGGGGGAAAAATAGGAATAACTGTAATAGAATACCAATAAAAAATGATTTTTAAAAAGGACATGATAGCAGAGGTTGCCGCTGTTCAAAAATTTCTTCTCAATAAACTCTTGTTTCAGCCCGAGGGTTAGAATGAATAGCTTTTTAACTAAATTTAGTGGGTCCAAGCCAAAATTTAAAAAAAAAACAAAACGAGGAAAAGAAAGGAAACTTCATTCTTGTTTAGTAAGAGTGATTACTAATTTGTGAAACTTTTGTTCCACTTCTCCAGAGGCAAAAGTGGATGCACTGAATAGCACAGTGAAAAAGTTGGAAAGCCAGTGCCCTGATGGCTAGAGTGTTAGCCAATGACGGGGTGTCAGAATTCCACCATTCACCCGCCCCCTCCGGCCCGCCCCTTGCTGCCAGGGCCACCATCACCCGCGTGGGCGTCCCGTCCCCAGGCAGCCTGCAGGTGTGCGCGCAAAGCTGACACGTGATGCCAGACACTATTTAAGAGGGCACCTTCCCTTGCTTGCAGCTGCCTCCTGTTTCAGCCCTACGTTCCAGGAGCTGCCAGAGGCTCGTGGGTCCCGGAACGCATCCCACCGCTGAGGCTGCCGCTGTGGCATGGGCGCCACGGGCCTGCTCTGGGTTTTCTTGGCTCTCCTCACGCCTAGGGTCCTCGGTGAGCTGGGAGGGGGAGCACGGAGGTAGGGAAGCGTCTGTCTGGGTCAGGGATGATGTTTCGTGCCATGAGGCAAAGCACAAAGCGAGAAGGTGGGGGCAATACCAGACGCTTGCCTTCCTCCCGCTCGCTTTGGGGGACCCCCTGAATCTCTTGGTCCTGAAGGTACTCACTGGCGGCTCCAGTTTGGGGGCTGGGAGCACCCAAACTGGAGGCTGCGCTACAGAGGGGCGCAGTGTGATCTACCTGGTGGGGCTGTGGCATGCACTCTCAGTTCCCTCTGGCTCTCCGCCCCTGCTCTGTGAAGCAGGTGCTCTACACTCTCGGCGGGGAGCTCTGCTAGCTCTAACCACGGCTGCAGAGCCAAAAGCTGTCTTGATATGTGCAAAGTCTGCTGCATGCTCAACTAGTCTCGGGAGTTTTTACATCTGCTGAACTGGCTCCTGCCGCGTGTAGCGTGTCCTTCTGCTTCCTTCCTTAAGAATGAATGTCGGCCTCCCAGGCATGGTGCTCACATTTTTTTTCTCACTTTTTTTTTTAACTTGTAATTTTTGCAAAGAGCTCCTAAACGATAAACTCCTAGAGTTACTTAGCAAACGCGAGGCATGAATTAAAACTAGCTGTCTTTGTGTTGGATACCTTCTGTGATGGTAATAGGTGCAGAAGGTCTCATTTAACATTTTTTGTAACCATCCCCCCCCCCGCCCTGAGATTGCACTAATTTTGAAGAAGTGTCTTAATTTTTCAAGATTAGAACCTCCTGGAGACCAGGTAGATCTAACTTTCTCCTAATTACCTCCAGGGTACAGTGAATTCCTAGTTTATTAAGAAGGTAACTCTATGCAGACCTCAATTACTGGGTGACTTTGGGCAAGTCAGTCACCTCCCTGATTCTCAGTTTCTTCTTCTGTGAAATGAAGCTAGAGATAAACTGTGCTGCCACCTTACTGAGCTACCCTGAATAGCTGATGAAATTGACAAATGAGAGTTAGATATTAGTTACTTATTAGATATTAGTCAGTTACTACTGACTACCAGTAATAACACTACTTGATGGACCTATTTTTATGCAGCCAGCATTGAAGCTTAGCCACCTCCAGCCTGTTAAGGAAAACTACATACTTTGGTTCTATTAAAATTTATTTGTTCTGCTTCCTGACATTTAACTTTCTCCTTACCCTTAATTGACTATTTCCCCAAATGATTGTCTTCTCTCTCTCTCTCCTACATATTAACTCCCTTTAAATGCACATTCACAACTTTCTCTAACACCTCTGTGTGGCAGGCCAGGCTTCCCACCAGCCTTGCATTGCTATTTCTAAATTTTAAAGAGACTATTATAAATTGAAAATCAAATTCTTCACCAGCTCAGCCCATTCGTTGTCCCTTCCAAGTGTGCCAGAGTACCCCCTCTCAGTACCATCCTCTGGGTCACTTAAATCCAAACACCTGAAAGACCAGGTCTACCTACCTGCCAACTCTGTTAGCTAATGCACCCTTGTTGTTTGTATCAATCATTCTAACATGGGTATTACATTATCTGTGTAACAACCTCCTTTCTTACAGGTCACTATGATATCAGTCTTTAACCTTCCCAATAGTGGAAAATCAAAATTTTTGAAGCTACATATAGTTTTTATTATTCCACTTTTCCAAAAATCTAAAAGGGTTTTCTGTTTAGAAGGGAAAAAAACTGATTTGTTAGGGAAAAATAAAGTCATCATTTTCAACCTCATTGACCCTACCCCCTCCCTCATCAAGGACTCTGTCAATGGGCAACAGTGGGAGTCTCTGGGGACCCTGAGGGCAGTGGTTGGCTCCTTCTGCCTAGGACCCAGTAATGCTTTTAGTGTGCAGAGTGAGCAGCTTTGTTCCTTCTATGTGTTCTTAAACTGACTGTTAGCTGCTGGTTTGGTGGCAGCAGACCTGGCCTCTGTGGGTATAGGGGCCTTGCTGGTTTCTTTCTACACAGCTCAAGTCCTCGCAACCTGCATGGAAAATGTATGCAACTGAATGTATTCAAAAGGAGAAAAAAATGGAGGAACAAGAAATGACAAAATTTTAGCTACAAGGCAGCATAAACGTTAAGAATTTTAAATATGATGTAAGAATTATACTCAAATAGAACATGAGAATTAATTTTTTTAAACATCTAGAAGGATTTTCTACTGCCTGTGTGATTAAAAAAAAATCAAATGTCTTCAGCCTTTCAAGGCCTTTGTCATTGGATCTCAACAAAGCATGCCCTTCCAGATTCCTCATTTTTCCTATCACGCGCATACCATTCACTGTCTTCTCTGACTGTCCTCCCATGGTTCTTTGTTTATGCTTTGCCCACACCCCCATCCTGACTTTGTCACCTACTATGTACCCTCCCCAGACTGTTAATTGGCTCTTGGCTAGTTCCTACCCTTGAACATGCTTAAGAAGTTCTTGAGGAGCCTTTTTAAAATAAAATACAGGTTCCTTGGTTCCACATCACACTCTAAAGAGTCATAGGTTTGGGATGTGGCCAATAGAGCTGAGGTTTAACCAGCACTCTGGAAAATTCTGAAGTATCTATGGGGCACACTGCTGTAAGCAGGTATATGGGAAGCAAATCTCCTTAGAGTATTTCTCCACTTCTTTAGTTTGTCTATTTACATGAACTGATTCAAATTTACTGCACTAGTTAATTTCATTCTTGCCAAGATCCTCAAACAGGAATTCCCTTGTTTTCTAATCATCTATCTCCATCTGAAACCAGATCTTTTTACTCACTTCTTTAAAATCTGTCAAGGGCTTCCCATCACATTAGAATAAAATTAATGCACCTTATCCTTGACTGCAGGCCTCTGCCTCTCTCTAAAATTCTCTATCCTGCCCCACAACTTCCTCTGTTCCAGCCACACTGACTTTCTTTCCATTCCTTGAACACATATTTGTTACCCTTTGCACTAAGTGTTCCCTCTGTTGAAATGGTTTTCCTACAGATCATCTTCACTATCTCCTGGGCATTCGGGTCTTAGCTCCACCTTCATTCTTTTCTGACTCTTATCTGAAGCAGTTGTTCCCCCAGGTTACTCTCTATCACATAACCATGTTCTATTTCCCAAAGAGCACCTATATCACATGAAATATTCTTGTTTATTTACTTACTTGGGTTTGTTTCCTCACTGGAATGCATGTTCCAGGGGAACATTGCCCAATGAATTCTAGAACTAGCATATAACTAGGAATTCAATAAAGATGTTCTTTTCCTTCTTTAACAGTGGAAAAAGTATGCTTTCTACTGAAAAACCAGCTCCTCTTCCTGTATTCATGATTACATTGCATCCCCTCTTGCCTTTGGAAGGACTTTACTTCTGCAGTGTATTCTGACTTGCATCATTGCATTTATACTTATTGACTTATTCCCATCAGGAGTTAAACATGCCCTAAGACACCCTTTATTTGGTAAAGAGGACTTCTCATAACCAATGGAACTGCATTTTTCTGCCCCTCTTCCTCATCATTCTCAGCAAAAATTTCCATTGACTCACATACCTTTATGTCCTTAACCCACTCTAGACAAGCCCCCTTCCCCACCATTTTCCTAAGGCTTCTCTCAACAAGCTTACTACTGACCTTCATGCTGACAAATCCAGTAACCATTTTTCTATCCTTATCTCCCTCAGTCTTTCAGCAAAAGCTGAATACCTCCAACCTCTTGAAACAATTCTCTCCTCATTTTCCAAGACAGGACACTCTTACCTACTTTTTCTGTACCTCTCTGGTTGCTCTTAGTCCCAAAAACAAACAAAAAAAAAATCAAACTGGTTCTTTCCTAAGCTTTCCCCTCTTAGTACATGTATTACCATCGACTAAGTAACTCAAGTGAAAAGCCTAAAAGTTATTACTAAATCCTCTCATTTCCTTAGCCCCACATCTCATGTACAAAAAGTCATCGCAATTTATTTTTAAGTATATTCCAAATTGATCCACTGTGGAGGTAACTTTGCCCACAAAGTCCCCCCTCTTCCACGGATGAAAGCGAAACTACCAAGACATGATCTGCTTGGGAAGGAAAGGTGGCCAATCCCTCAAAGAAGAAGGGCCAAGAGCTCCTTCCTCAAGGGGCTTTTATTGGGTTTATTTGCAAGAATACAGGTAAGGATCAAACAATAGACAGCATTTAAAGAATTATGAGGGCTTATTCTCAGTCAGAGTCAGATAGCTAAGGAGTCATAAAACTTTGAGGAACAAACTTCTTGCTTGGACCCTTATCATTTAAATAGGAGTATTCCAAACAAAGCAGGTTTCACAGGATTTTACATTATCTTTCTTAGGCCTGATCACCCAGGATCCCTTTCTAGCTAGCAAAGGGCTGAGCCGCCTTCCCAGTCATAGGTGTTTAGGCTTAAGCAGATTAGAGCCAGGAGGCACTTCTCCCAGATGGAAATGGAGACTTGGGCTATGTCAGAATAGCTGGGGGGCAAGGCTCCATCACTCCCTCTTTGTTGCAGCCGAAGTCCTTCCATGATGGCCTTCCAAGGGATTGTGTCTGGCTTAGGTTGCCCCCCCTCTGAGGGGTAGTACCTGTCATAGACTAACTGACCAAACATTAGGGGCAGGGAATAAGCTTTGTCTTCCTTAGTGACTCAAATTCCAGAGGTCACTCACTCAGTCTTAGCCAAGGGGGACAGTTACAATTCCTGAAATCAGGCAGAGTGGTTCCCAACAATTTACTTCTCACTATCTCCTTGTAGTCCAAGCCTCTTTTTTTTCCTGTCTGAAATACAATTATAGCCTCCAGACTGCACTCCTTGGCTTCTGAAAGTAAAAGTTCAGTCTATTCTCCACCAAACTGCCAGAGTATTCCTTTTAAAAAGTCAGGCAGTTTGACTCTCCTGCTTGAACTCTCCAGTGACTTCCACTCAGGATAATCTTCAGACATCTTACTGTGGCTTGAGGAGCCCTATGCAACCTGTTCTTATTGAAACTTCTAATTTGATGTCATGCCACTGTTTTAATCACTGTAT